CAGGCGCGGCGAGGCGGGCCCGCAAGCTTCGCAGGGCGGCATCACGCTGCTCGAACGTGCAGCTGGGGTGCCCGCAGCGCAAGCAGCCAGGCCCGCCCCGCCCCGCCCCGCCCTCACATTCTTGGCCCTGATCTCCTCGATGGGCCGCCAGCTGTCCGAGGCATCCGTGTTGTTGTGCACCTGCAGGCGGCGCCAGGCAGCGCAGGTGGGGAGGGGTGTGCCACTGGTGGCCAGGAACTGCACAACCGCGCAGCACGTGCCAATCCCAGCCAGAGCAGCACAGACACACACAGCCGCGAGCGCCGGCCCCGGCTGGGCGGCAGCCACGACCGCAGCAGCAGGCAGGGCAGGGCAGCGCCGCAGTCTGTGCTCACCCACGGCCCGCAGTCGCCGCAGTCTGTGCCCAGGTCGCAGAGCACCAGAAACATGGCCATCTCTTCTGGCGGGGCCTCGCTTTTGATACTGGGCCGCCCGTCCTCACAGATGCCGTTGTTGGCATGGCCGGGGCAGGTGTCCTGGCACACGGTCTTGACGCCGTCGGCGCCGAAGCTGGTGCCTGCTGCACCGCCGGTGGTGGCCAGTGCCGCCGCCGCTGCCGTCGTGCCGCCGCTACTGATGGCGCCGCCGCCGTCGGCCGGCGCGACGTCGTCGTGTGTCGAGTCCTGCTGCCGCGCCCCCACGGCCCCGCCCTCCACCACGTCGGGCACGACGTCGTGGTGCGGCAGCATGCCAGTCTCTTTGCCCGCAGCCTCTGCCTGCTCTTCTGAGGCTGCCGCAACGGTCTGCAGCCACTAGGGAGGAGGGCGTTGGTGGCGGCGGCCCGAGTGGGCACCGCAGCAGCAGAGGCAAGCAAATGCCCTGCCGTTCCAGTGCTGGCCAGGCACCGGGTGGCAGCTGTGAACTTGCCTTGGTGCCGGCCCCAGCCACCACCGCCGCCTTCACGACCGGAGCGTTGGTGCCCACGCCGAGAAAGTAGCCAATGCCTAGGCAGGCTAGGCCCAGTGGTATCAGCATGGCACGGCCAGGGCCCCGGTGCTGCCGAGCGCGGGCCGGCAGCAGGGGCGCCATGGCGCCGCGCCGCTAGCGGCGGGGACGGTGCAGCTGCCGCCGGCAGTCGCCTGCTGGTGGCGGCAGGCGTCTGCTCAAAAGGTTCAGCGTTCCAACGGAGTCGGTGCTGAGAGGTGGGGGGAACAGCCGGGCGCCAATCGACGCTCCGAGGAGGGGGTTGAGGGTTTTTGGTGTGCCCGTCTGCTGCAGGCAGCGTTCGTGTCCTGTGTCACAGAGGTCTGATTGAAATCAAGGGCGTTCGTGAGAGGTAGAACGAATGCCAGCGAGGCAGCTCCTCTCTTGGAGGAGCGAAACCCGCTGTCGCAGCGCTCTCGTGCGTGCGCAGGAAACAAACATTGTCCTGGTGTGTCGCTAGGAGGAACCCGCCACCCTGTGTCGACATGATCTCCACCTCTGTGCCACAGCCCCTAGCTGCAGTAGCACCACAGCCCTTAGCTGCAGTAGCGCGGCTGCAGTCACACGCGCGTGCCTCTAGCAGCACAGCTACTGCAGCGGGCGCCTGGGGCCAGCCCCCCCGCCACGGCGGCGCCGCCGCCAGCGGTGTCGGCGCCCTGGCCCGCGGACCCCACTTTCGCAGCTGCCGGCCGCGCCGAGGCATGCTGCAGGTTGCAGCCTCCTCCAGCTCCCCCTACAGCCCCTACCCTTTCCACCCAGGCGAGCCTGTTGCCTGGCTGCCTGCAGCCCCAGCACCGCCGGCTGGCCCGCTGGCCCCAGCCGCTCACGGCCACCGCCTGCCCATGCCTGCCCGCAGAGGACTACTATCGAGTGGGGCTGCAGATGGTACAGGTCTGTGGCCGCCTCCCTCCTCCCCACATCTCCTGTTCCCACCTGTTTTGCCCTGGCCGCTCAGGCCGCCGCTGGCGGGCGCCCGTCGCGTCCAACCGCCCAGCCGTGGGCCGCCGCCTCTGCCCCTCCCTGCGTGCAGACGTCGGGCCCCGTGGGCGTGGGTGTGCAGCAGGGCTACTTCCTGCTCATGCGCATCACCTCCCAGGACACAGTGGAAGACACAGGTGGGGAGCGGGGGCGGCCCCGCCGCAGCTAGCTACCGAGCAGGCGCCCCACCCCGCGGCGAGGCTGCTGCCCCGCACCCCTCCCTGCCCTGCCGTACCCTGCCGCCCCCGGCCCCGTGTGACGCCCTGCCGGCCCCTGCCCGCCTTCTGCCCTCCCGCCGCGCCTCCCTGCGCAGACCGTGGCCTGGTCATGTCTGTGGGCGGCGACACGCTGGCGGGCGTGGCGCAGCTGGCGCAGGGACTGCCCACGGGCGCAGCCGGTGGCCGCCCGCTGTCTCTCGACCTGCTGTGGCAGGTGCTGGAGCGTGGGCAGGAGATCAGCAGGCGGACGTGGGGAATCCTGCGGGTGGCGGTGGTGGAGCTGCGCGGCAACACGTTTGTGGGGCGCGTGTTCTTCGGAGACCACGCCACGGGCGCCGTGGCCTGGGACTGCGACTGCCGACCCTCCGACGCGTGCTGGCTGGCGCTCAAGGTGCGCGGGCGGGCAGGCGGGGCGGGCGGCACGCGCGTGCGGGCGCTTCTGGCCGTTCCTGGGCATGGCTGGTGAATGGCGGGGCCCAGCACGCTCGCCACGGCTGGGACCCCGTGGCCTGAGTCGACCCCTTCCCTTGCTTGCCCCTCAAAACGTCCTGTGCTTGACCCTGTGCTTGTCCCTGTGCCTGCGTCCGCCGCTCCCTCCTCCCCCTCCCCCTCCCCCCGCCTGCCCCGCAGGCCAAGTCGCCCATCTACGTGCACAAGAGTGTGTGGGAGGACAGCGCGATGGTGCTGCGCGAGATCCAGCGCGGCGCCGAGCAGCGCCAGCCCGAGGCGGGCCTGCGGGACAAGGGCCAGGCGGGCGGGCTGCTGGTGGGGGAGGCGGCAGACGGCGAGCTGCTCACGCCCACCGTCATCATGACCACGCCCAGGTGCGGCGGGGCGGCCTGGGCCGTTGTGTGTATGGAGGGGGAGGGGGTCCGGCGGCCGCCGCACCTCTGCTTGCGCCCCTGTGCAGCCTGGGTAGCGCTCCCCGGCCCCTCCCCCGCCTGCCTCCTGCTGGGCCATCCTGCTGACAGCTCCCTCCCTCCCTCCCTTGCGCCCCTGCCTCCCCGCCCTGCAGGCCTGCTGACCCCGAGCCCCTCAAGCGCCTCAAGATGGAGATGCGGGTGGCGCTCAAGGATGAGGACTATGCTGCGGCGGCGCGCATACGGTGGGTGGGCGCTGCACTGCACGCGTGCGCTGTCCTGCCGCGTGTTGTGTGCGCGCGCTTGGTGACTCCCGTGTGCGGCGCTGATGTGCGCACACACGTGGCAAGGTTTCCATAGCGCCGCATGACGCAGCACCCTTCCCGCCTGCCGCCCTGCAGGGACCACCCCTGGATGCGGCTGCACCTGAGCAGCATGCAGGCGCTGCAGCAGGGGGACGAGGAGGAGGCGGGGAGGTGCGAGGCCCAGCTGACGGCTGCCATCAGCCAGCACGAGCGCGAGGAGCGGGAGGGCATGCGGCAGCGAGACGCCGACGAGCAGCGCAGGCGGCGGCAGCAGCAGCCGGACAGCGGCGCGGGCGGCGGCGGCGGCAGCGACAACCCAAACCGCCAGTTCTATTGAGGCGGGGCGGGCAGTGGCGCGCCCCGACAGCAGAGAGCCAAACGAGCGCAGCCCCCCAAGCGCCAGTGTTGCGCAGCAGGCGGCCAGGCCGTGCAACAGTGTAAGCAAATAGGTCAACCAGTGCGAATGCACCCCCCATTCCACCCGCCTGCCATCTGGCATCCCTCCCTGTACCACCACCCGCCAATCTGCCCAGATGCTCAGGCCTGTAGCGTGTGATTTTGTCTAGCGGCATCCACCTGTGGTGCCGTACCCTTTGCCATGTTCCCAGTGTGCCAGCGTCTCGCCTTACCTACTCCCTACCCCCCTGCGGGGCCCCTGAATGCATGCCAGCTCAGTTGCTCAGACCCAACCCCCCCTAGCGTGGAGCGTTCTTCTTGCGGCTCCTGCATTTAGGCGCCTCTGTTTCCACCTCCTGTACGCCCCAGCCTATTAACAAACCCAATCCCCCATTGAAATGCATGAGAGCTGTACTTGCACACCACCCCCGCCCAGCCTCGCCGGCATGCACGATGCAAGCCCGGCGGGCTGCTGCGTCACCCTGTAACTCGCGCCACTCGCACACTCGCCCCACCTCCCAAGGCTGCACCCGCGCTTACACCTCAAAAAGTTGGGACTCAGGCCGAGGCCAGCCGGGCCACCCGGGACTTGAACAGCTGCACCAGGCGCCTGTCCTCTATGAGCGGCCCCCGCTGCTGCACCTGCTGGCGCTGCGTGGGCGACCGCGGCTGCTGCTCCTGCAGCTCCTGCGGGCGCTGCCGCTCGGCCAGCGACCCCGGGGAGTCGGCCGCCGCCGCCTCCTGCACCGCGGAGCTGCTGCTGCTGCGGGCCATGCCGGGCCCGCGCTGCTGCTGCTGCTCCTTGATCGACAGCAGCGCCATGATGGGGATGCTCTGAAGCCGGGTCTGGAGCATGCGGAAGGCGTCCCCCTGCGCCAGCAGGCAGGCGCAGAGTGCGCGGTGGGGTGCTGTGCCAGCTGGCTCAGGAGCCCACACCCGCCGCTGCCGGGGAGCTGCACCCGCGCCCCCGGGCGCCCCACACCCACATGTGCGCGCACCTGGGGCAGCAGCATGAGCAGGCCGTGCGCGGCCCGCAGCAGCGCCGGGTGCGCCGCAGGCTGCAGCAGCTGCAGGCGCAGCGGCGCAAAGGCTGGCGCCTCCAGCAGCGACACCAGCTGGCTCAGCTCCACCACCGTCTCGGGGCGCATGCTCAGCGGCTCCTGCGCCATCACCGCCAGGAGTTCGCACGCCAGGCTGTACGCCTGCGGTACCAGCGGCAGCGGCAGGACTCGGTCGGGCGCAAAGGCCTGCCGCCTCCTGCCCGGTGTGCATGCGCAGGCGCTCTGGCGACAAGCCGTCAGCTGCGCCCTGCCATACGGCATCCAGCCCAGCCAAACAGCGCACCTGCGCCAGCAGCGCCAGCGCCAGCGAGGCGGCGCAGCTGTAGCTCCAGGAGGAGAAGAGCTGGGTGAAGACGTCGGCGGCCTCCGAAGACCGCAGGCTGTTCTGCAGCAGCGCCCGCAGCTCCTGCACCACGGAGCGGCGAAACAGGTGCAGGGGCAGGCCGCGGTCGGTTGGGCGGCAGCAAGCCGTGTGCAGGCGGCAGGGAGGGGCCGTGGGCAGTACCCGCCGGCCCAACAAACAGGCAGCGGTGACGCTGCTGCCTGGTACAGGCGTACTGCCTGCCTGGCCCGCCCTGCAGAGCCGCGCGCCTGCAGCTGGCTGCTGGTGAGCAGGATGAGGTTGAGGGCCTGCACCATGGCCCCCGCAAAGCCCACATCCTCCTCCTCCTGCACCCAGCCAGCGCAGACGCACGCGCAGCGTGTTGGGAGCGCTGATCAGCCAGCATAGGCACACGCAAGCATGGGCAGGCTGGGTGGCAACAGCCACGCATCGCATTTACCCACAGGGCAGCACCGGCAGCGAATCGCATGCACAGCATGCACAGCACGAGCTCCAAGGGGATCACCGGCAGCCAGCGGCGGCAGCGGGAGCTGGCCTGCAGCAGGCGGGACAGCTCCTTGTACACGCGCAGCCCTCCCAGCCGCTGGCTGAGCTGCTGTATGATCAGGCCGCCGCGGCGCTGCAGGCAGGGGGCGGGGCGCAGGACGCATTGGAACCAGGCCTGCCTGTCCCTGGCTCCCTGGTTGCAGCGCGGAGCGAGCCTGCCAGCGCCGAGTGAGGACAGAGAGACAGGGGCGTCGGTTCCAGTCCATGCCAGGGCCCAGGCAGCACCTGGAGCAGGCGCGCGCCGCTGCCGCCGCGGAAGCAGTCCAGCAGGGCCGCGATGACGGCCGGGAAGTGGCCCCGCTGCTCCGCCACAGACGCCAGCACCGTCAGTGACTCGGTCACCACTCGGTCTGAGGGGGACAAGGGTACGGGGCGCAGCACGGGGGTCGGGGCATGCCTCGAGATGCAAAAGTCGGCGAGAGGGACGCAGCCCAGCGGCAGCGCCCAGGAAGGCAGCAAGTCCCGCGCTGCTGCTCCGCGGGGAGGCACAGCGTGGCACCCGACAGCGGCGCGGCGCACCCGAAGCCGCCGCCAGCGCATCGCACAGCGCCGCCAGCAGCAGCTGCTGCTGGTCTTCCAGCAGGCGCGCGTCCCTGGACAGCAGGGCATGCACCCACTGCAGCGCCTCCAGCTTGGACACCTCCGCCTCCCCTTCCAGCTGCTTGCTGCGGGGAGGGCAGGGGAGGGCGGCGGATGTGCAAGGGAGGGCGTGAGAGAAGGGCAGACCGAGGTCCCGCATGATGGCGTGAGCAAACAGCCAGCGACACACCACAGGGTGCTCGGGTGGGCGGCTGCAGCGGCAGCAGCAGGGCGGAGGCAGGGCCGCATGCGCCACCTGACGGTCGCCAGAAGGGCCTGGCTGTCCAGGCCGCTGGCGGCGGCGGCCGCAGCGGCCGCCACTCCGTTGGCGCCTTGTTGCTGCTGCTGCTGCTGCTGCAGCTGCTCCAGGAGGTCGCTGTTGACCTGGCGGGCCGCGGCGCTGATGCTGGTGTCTGCAGCGGGAGCGCAGAGCGGGGTGGGAGGGCAGAGTGGTGGGCGGAGCGGGTGGCCACGGCAATGGTGCGAGCCGGGCACCAGGCAGCAGCAGGTGGCGCCAGCACCGACCTTCATGCCCCAGGCAAGGCAGCACCTCCCGCAGCAGCGCCGCGGTGTGCGGCAGCAGCTGCTTGGGCGCCAGCTGCACCAGGGTGTGCAGCCACCTGCAGGCGCCGAGGGTGGGGCTCAGCAGCAGCTTGGCAGGCAGGCAGACCGGTGGTGGCAGCGGCGTCACCACCATGGGCAGCACGACGGCACACAGGTACGCAGGTACAGCGCTCCGCCCCTTCCTCCTCGCCCCCTCCCCACCTCAGCGTCGTCAGCTGTGCCGCCGGGTCGTCCCGCCGCTGCTCCAGCTGCTCGGCCAGGATGAGGGCGATCTGGCTGACGTTGGCGCCGCCCCCGCTGGTCTGCACCTCCAGCAAGAACTCCTGCAGCCGGGCGGGGCCAGCAGGGGGCAGGCCGGCAGGCAGCTTGGCGGCAGGCCAGGCTGGCAGGCGACGCAGTGCAGGGTGGGAGGATGCTTCCTGCTGTGCGCAGCTTGCCCACCGCCACCCACGACGCGGTCACGGCGACACACACACACACACATACAGCCGCACACACACCTGCAGCAGCTTGGTGCATGCGGAGCGTATCTCCGCGTTGCCGTCGCTCAGCATGCCCAGCAGGCCCGGCAGCAGGCTGGGCAGGTGCGCCGCCAGCTCCACATCCGGAAGGCTGTCCAGCAGGCTGCGCGGCAGCAGGGGGTGGGAAGGGTGCGAGAAAACGCGATGGGGGGATCAGCCATCCACACCAGCGTGCGGTTGGCACGGCGCCTCGGCGGGGCCGCCACCACCACCACCACCGCCACCGCCTCCGCAGCAGCAGCGCCTGCCTCCCACCTGAGCCATCCCAGCAGGAACTGGCGCTTGAAGGGGTTGGCCACCTCCAGGTACTCGCGCAGCAGCGGCACAAACCCCGCCACGCTGAACTCCTGGCTCTCCGCCACAATGTCCTGCAGCGGGCAGGCAGGGGGTGGCGGCGGTGGTGGCGGTGGTGGCGGTGGTGGCAGCAGTGGTGGTGGTCTGTGTGTGTGTGTGTATGTGTTATGCACGCGTCTCGGGGTGTCGGGTGAGCGCCGTGTTGGCAAGCTCCGCCCACCCAGCCCAGCCCGCGCTCACCTTGACCAGGTTGTCCAGGAAGGAGGCGGCGTTCTGCACGTTTGTGTCGGCGTCTGAGCAGAGGCGGAACAGGGCGTCAAAGACGTCGGGGAAGACCTGGAGGAAGGTGTCGCGCGTGCTCTTGGCCTGCAGAGGGGGGTCGGGGCGCGGGAGGGCAGCAGAGGCGCGGGTGGCACACGCATGTCACGTGTGTGCCATACATGAACGTGTGTAATGTGTACCCAGCGTGAGGCAGCGAACAACAGCAACAGGTGGCGAGGGGTGGTGCACAATTGGGCTGAGCCCTGGGACAAGACGGTTTGCAGCCAGGCAGCGCAGGCGACTATGCTGTGCACCCGCTGCCGCCGCTACTCCCCGCCCGCCCCCCACGCACCACGTTCCACAGGCTCTCAATGGCGTAGTACCGCACTCGGTTGTCCTGGTCGGTGAAGGAAGCCAGGATGGGCGGCACGATGCGCTGCAGCAGGTCGGGCGGGCGCGGCGTGCCCGCGGGGCACCCCGCCAGCGCCACCGCGGTGGCCGCCAGGCACAGCAGGCCGCCCTTGCGCGCGTTGGACTGCGGGCGGCGCGAGGGAGGCGGGCAGGCAGCACGGGCCAGGGGGATGGAGCAGCGGGCCTGGCGGCCTCAAAGTTGGCTGCATGCACCCGCCTGGTCTCGCGCCTGCACTGCTGCAACGCACTGCTGCTCACAACCACCACCACCACCCAACCCTGCCCACACCCACACACCCCCAGCACCGTGCCGCCTGCACCGTACCTGCGAGGAGGTGGCGTAGGTGGTGAGGGAGCTGATGACGTCGTCGATGCGCTGCATCCTGCCGTTCATCGCCAGCTGCTTCACCACCTGCTCCACCTCCAGCGCCGCCAGCTTGCGCTTCTCATACAGCTGCGGGGCGGGAGCGGGGCGGCGGCGGCACGGGTGGCGGCGATGGGCGGCGGGGCGTGGGGCACAGCGTCATTGACTTGTTTCACCGCATTGCCACACTTTCAACCCCAGTTCCTTGAATCAATGAACTGAGCCTGCTCACGCTGGCCAACACCCGGAACCCCAGCGATCTGAGGGCAGCAACGTTTTGACGAGACATACCCGGTCTGCGATATGTTTCAACACGTACGCAGGCAGCACCGACTGGCTCATGGTGCAAGCCACCACCAAAGCCACCACTCCTGAGCCACCGCCTGTGCTGTTGAGGCCCCTGTTACCACCCTGCTGAATTGAGGAATTCGTTCACTTGTGCATGAGGCCGCCAAGATGTATCAAGCAAGGGCGGGTGCGACAACTCAGCGCCGCTCTGCCCGCTTCCCGGGGCTTCCTTACTGTGCAATTTATCCTAAAGCGCAGCATGCTGCGTGTGACGTTCAATCTCTGGGAAATTTCCCAGCCTGATGGTCCGCACCTGCGGAAGCCGCCGCTCCTTCCTGTCGCAACCACCTGGTGTGTCTCAAAGCGTAGATGATGTTACAAAAGTGACCCGGGGCGTTGAGGGGCCACAGGTGCTGTTGGAGAGAGAAAGGTGGCTGGAATAAATGGGTGCACCATGAGTGAGTGGACGCCGAGTAGAAGCACAGGTGGTAGAAAGAACATTGTTGGCTCCATATGCGAACCAGGTGCAAAAAGAAAGGGCGGGAGTACAGAAGGGGGTAATCACCGATCGGGGGGGCAAGGGGGCGGAAACCGTGTGCGTCAAAACTGCGGCGTGCGGGAGAGTACAGGGCGGCATGCAAAAACAAACAGCTGGCGAGGGGCTACAAGTCAGTGCTCGGGTGGTGCTGGCACGTCAGGGCAGTGCGTGGTGCGGCAGTGCGTATGCAAGCATGGGCAGTCCATTGCGGTTGTATATGTGTACAGTGCGTTTCACCGGGCTGGGTGTGCTTCTGCTGGCGCGGGAAGACGGGCAGGATGCACCGATCAACTTTGGGCCGGAGCAGGCAGGGGGCGCCACGGGTGACGATACAGGGGGGCCAGGCCACCGCGGCGCATCGACACTGCACAGATGATACAGAGTATGCAAGGGGAAGGGACTGTTCACGCACGCATGCCACATGTGTACACCAAAGTTTAGGGCAGGCACGCACTCTCTCTTGTACTGTGTGCCGCACTGGCTTGAGCCGCTCCCATCGTAGGCTGCTGCCGTCGCCGCGCTGCTCTCCCGCCGCCACAGCCGCTGTCCTCAACAATCCAGGCTGCCGCCCCCCCACCCGGCTGGCAGCAGCAGCGGCAGCAGCAAGTTGCTTGCTTACCGGCACAGCGCTGGGCGCCCGCTCGGCAAGGTGTCGCTCTGCAGGCAGGCACCTACTGCTGCGCAGGGCTCAGCAGGAGCGCCCGCGCATACAGACAGGCACGCATGTGCAAGGGGATGTGGCTGCTGCTGCTCTGGTGCTGGGCAGGGCACAGGGGCAGGGTCACGGCTGGTGGTGCTGCTGCATCACGCTGAGGTCGCCTGGCAGGGAGCCCTCGCTGTGCTCCGCAAAGCCCTCCTCGCTCTCCGCGGGCGCGCGGGCGCCCTGGCCGCGCAGCTCAGCCACCTCCTGCTGCAGCATCTCCACCTGCTCCCGCAGCCTGCGCGCAAGCAAGAGGAAGGGGCAGGGGGACGGGCGGGCACAGCAGGGTCGTCAGCAACACACGGTCGGGGCAGGCGCAAGCTCAGAGCGCTTGGCAGCGCAGCGGAACGCAGGCAAGCAGCCTCTGCTGACCAGCAGAGCCACACGCGCCACCCACCTCAGGTTTTGGTCCTCCAGCTCGGCAATGTAGGCCTCCTGCTCCATCAGCCGCGCCTCCATGTGGCGCGGCAGCCGCGCGCCGTCGGCCGGTGCAGCACCCGCCTCGCCGCCACCACCCGAGTGCAGCTCCCCCTCCGACCCCTCCTCCTCCTCCATCTCGTTCTCCTCTTCCGAGTCGCTCGTGGTCATCTGCTGGCCGGCCAGGAAGAGCGCCGCCGAGTTCTCGTTGGTGCCGTACCAGTCTAGGCCCGCCTGCAAGCCCTCAGCCTCCAGCTTGTCCACTCCGGGGGGCGGAGCCGCGGCCACCGCCTTGCCCACGTTGGCGGGGGTGTCCAGCGGGTTGATGGCTGCAGGGGGGGAGCGCAAGGGGAGGGGGAGCGGGGCGCAGCGCGCAGATGAGTCGGCTACAGCAGGCCACCAGGCAGTGGGCGCGGGCGGGCGGGCGAGGCTGGATACAGTTGAGGAGCACGAGGGCTTAAAGGGCACGCGGCGGCACTGGGCTGCAGGACACTGTGCGGGGCAGAGGGCGTGGCGGTGCAAAAGAGCAAGGGCATGCGCTGCTGGTCAACAGGGGATCCACACAGGCGGGCCGGGCCTACTCACTTGCTGGCGTCAGGGGGACGGGGCGCGGCTTGAACTTAGGCTGCTTGGCTCCCTTGGAACGCGGTCGGCGGTGGCGGCCTGTGCCATATTGGGGGCGGCAGGACGCGCGCAGCGGCATGGGACGGCGCTCCGCCAGGAACAGCGGCGCGGTGTGACCCAGCGCCAGATGCGCGGGCAGCGGCAGGAGGGCAGCGGCGGGCAGGCGGCGCCTACCGTGCTGCTGCTGCTGCTGGCTGGGGCCCGGCCCCTGCTGGAAGCCTCCTCGGGGCGGGCCCGCGAAGTGCTGCTGCGTGCGCCGCCAGTTCTCCTGCCGCAGGTCTTGGAGGTTGGGCACCTGGCCGAAGAATCCCAGCTGCTGCGGGGCGCGCTGCTGCTGCTTGAAGGGGCGGGAGTTGGGGCCCAGCCCAGACCCCCGCTTGCCGCGCTTCTTGCGCTTCTGTTGCTGCTGCTGAGGCCGCTCGTGCTGCCCATAGCCGTTTGGCGGCCCGGGGTTGGGCGGCAGAGGGGGATTCGCCGGCAAAGGCGGCTGCGCAAGCAAGTCCATGGAGACTGAGCGCCAGGGGCGCGTGAAAACGACCAGAATGGAGAGTGGGGCGCTGTCTGTGCCGGTGGCGGCCGCAAGCGGCCAGGAACCTCCAATTTTCCCAAAGGAAAGACCGGGGTGGGGGGACGTGGCCACATGGTGCCATGTTGGGGGACACCCACGCGGGGACGTGCCCCGCGTCCCCCCACCCGTATTTCTTGCATCAGTTTTTCTTGGGGCACCGGGGCACCCGGCAGCGCGCCCCCAGGGGCCTTCCTGGCACACTTACACACCACAACTGCCCGTCTGTTGCCCTGCGCGGCCTCCCGCGGCGCCAGACCTGGGCCTAGCATCAGCAAGGGAGCACCGCGGCGCCCTGGGCGCGCCCCACACGGCCAGGTGCACTGCCGGCTGTCAACAACGGCTGCCCCTGGCCGGCTGCGCCCATGCAGCCTGTTGCCCATGCAGCCTGTTGCCTGTGCTCCTGGCGCCACCCCACGCTCCCCGCTCCCTCTCCCCCCTTGCCTCCCGCCTGCAGCCATGGGCTTAGAGGCGTTTCCGCGGCCCCAGCGCGCCCGCACCCAGCCCAGAAAGATGGTCGAGGCAGCGGACGACTCGGAGATCGATGCCGCAACACACTGGATCCACCAGTCCACTAGCCTGCAGCAGTCGGCGCTGCCGCCCGGTGCCCGCCCGCCGCTCGGCAGCCGCCCTCCGCCCCTCCCCCGCCCCAAGGCGCGGCGCAGCAAGGCCACCCGCGGGCCCAGCAGCTGCAGAAGCAGCCCCTGCAGCAGCCCCAGCCAGCAGCAGGACGACAGCGACTATGAGGACGCCGTCAGCGATGCAGACGCGGAATGGGCAGCGGCTGCGGCAGCGCTGGGCAGGGCACCGCCAGAGGCAGGCGCCGACAGCGGCAGCCACCAGGCTGATTCGCCCGATGCCCCAGCGTACAAGCGCCGGCGGGGCAGCAGCGGCAAGGCCGTCAAGCTGCGCAACCCCGAGTGCGTGCTTGCTTGCCTCCCTGCCGGCCGGACCTGCCGGATCTGCCTGCAGGCATTCACTTCCTCGCCTGCTGGCTGCCCCCGTTGCTGCAGGTACACCGAGGAGGAGCGCGCAGAGCTGGCCCGCAAGTCCCGCAAGCGCCTGCAGGACAAAACGCTGAAGTCGTATGACAGCCACCTGCGCAAGCTGGAGGTGACCTTGCTTGCCACAGGCAGCTCGGCGCCGCCAGCGCACCAGCCAACCAACCCAGCTGTGCCCCGCCCCGCCAGGTAGCACCAGCCTGCTGGCCTGCCTGGGCCCGCCCCCCGACCCCCCTTCCCCCTGTGCACATGGTGGCGGCAGCAGCGGCTGTGCTCATGCCCACGCCCGCAGCGGCGGCAGGCATGACGCCGGTGGAGGCAGCAGCGGCAGCAGCAGTGGCAGTGGCAGATCAGCCAGGCGACAACACGGTTGAAGTGCCCGTCGCGTTGCTGCAGCAGCTGATGGCGCAGCAGCAAAGCCTGCAGCGACAGCTGTTGTTGCTGACGGCAGAGGTGTGCGTGAGCGGCCCCCCCGCCTTGCACCGCGCCGCGGCGGCAGCGCAGCAGGACGACAGCGTGAGCCTGAGCGCAGGCAGCAAGGGCGTGTTCACACTCGGGTACGCCACCTCTGCCAGTTCTGGCACAGGCACAATGGCACGAGCACGCAGCGCAGCGGGCTACGCAACTGCGGCAGCGGCACCTGCGGCAGCGGCAAGCGCCTCAGCAAGGGGCTCGTTTGTCAGCAGGTGGGCTGGCCTCGACTGCAACCTGCCCCGCAACGGCCTGAGCTTGGTGCCGAGCGCCACATGGGTAAGCCTGTGCCGCCCGCCCTGCTGCCGCTGCGCTGCGGCAGCCGATGCCGGTGGCGCTGCCGCACCTGCCCTGTGAGCAACTCTTCCCTTCTTTGAACCTTGCATGCAGGCCGCCACCCTGTACTATGAGGGCCACAACGGCTACCCGGCGTGGAAGGACAGGGAGGAAGAGCAGGAGCAGGCCAGCCAGCGCGGCGAGCTGGGCCCGCAACAGTCATGGCGGTCAGGCCGACGCAGGACCTGGCACCAGTTTGTGAGGGCGATGCAGCTAGTGGAGGAGGTGGCGAAGAGGGAGCAGTGCACCCCCATCCAGGCGGCCAAGCTGGTGGACCAGTGCCTGGAGGCACGGCAGGTGCGGGGTTGCATGCGCGGCGCGGTTGGCTGGGGGGATTGGTAGGGCCGCAAGGGTTGGTTGCCAAGCCTCTCAGTGCTGTGTTGCCGATGCTGCCCTGCTGTTGCAGGTGGGCAAGGCAAGGAAGAAGAGCTTTGCTTGCCTGGGCCGCTCAGACAAGGCAGAATCAGTGCGTCAAATGCTTGGCCTGCCGGCCAAGCCGGAGAGCAGCTGACGGTGAGCCTGGTTGGCCTTGCCGCCGACAACTTGTACGCGGGGCGAGGGAATCCATTAGGCTGGCTGACTGGCCGCTACCTTCACCAGCCCGGCCCACCCACCCGTGGATCTCTGGGCCAGGTGGCTGCTATGTGCCGCACGGCAGCGCCGCCCACTGCCTGGCCGCCAGAGTGCAGTTTATGGTTGCATTGCGCTGGCAGAGTGTAATATCAATGAATCCATCGCAACAAGAAGACCGCCAGCTCGCCCCCGTCGCACTCAGCAGGCCCAGAAAATGCATGGGCTGGCCTGGGCAGCAATGCTGTGGTTTTGTCAGGCACAGCTGACGGCAGGGCAGACCCAGGAGGTGGTGCAGGGCACTGCTGCCAATGCTGATTTGCATGCCATCCCGGTTTGGGGACCCTGACACCCTACTGAATGAGGCCCTGGGAGGGCAGGCCCAGAAAATGCATGGGCTGGCCTGGGCAGCAATGCTGTGGTTTTGTCAGGCACAGCAGAACACGCTGACGGCAGGGCAGACCCAGGAGGTGGTGCAGGGCACTGCTGCCAATGCTGATTTGCATGCCATCCCGGTTTGGGGACCCTGACACCCTACTGAATGAGGCCCTGGGAGGGCAGGCCCAGAAAATGCATGGGCTGGCCTGGGCAGCAATGCTGTGGTTTTGTCAGGCACAGCAGAACACGCTGACGGCAGGGCAGACCCAGGAGGTGGTGCAGGGCACTGCTGCCAATGCTGATTTGCATGCCATCCCGGTTTGGGGACCCTGACACCCTACTGAATGAGGCCCTGGGAGGGCAGGCCCAGAAAATGCATGGGCTGGCCTGGGCAGCAATGCTGTGGTTTTGTCAGGCACAGAACACGCTGACGGCAGGGCAGACCCAGGAGGTGGTGCAGGGCACTGCTGCCAATGCTGATTTGCATGCCATCCCGGTTTGGGGACCCTGACACCCTACTGAATGAGGCCCTGGGAGGGCAGGCCCAGAAAATGCATGGGCTGGCCTGGGCAGCAAAATGCAAATGTTGCTTTCTGCATTGCACGGACATGCAGACGTGGGTGGCAGGTGGCAATCAAGGTGCTCAGGGCTTGCACTGCTGCAATTTCCCCGCTTTGGTACACGCTTCATGAGTTCCTCTCTAGCTTTTGTCGCTGCAGGCGAACGTTAATGGCTCCGTTTTCGGTAAGTCAATGCCCAAGGTGCAGCTGCGGTTGGCCGCCTACTCCAGTCTGCCCTGAAATCTCTTCGCATGCGTCATGATTCGCATCTGAGCTTGACGAATGGGGGGAGGATTGCGGCCGGGAGGGTGTGTCAGTTGCGCGCCAGGCTGGACGGTTGCCGCGCGCACAGAGGCCCCCCGGGCCATCAACGAAGCGCACAAGTCGCGCGGGCAGGCGGGGACGCTGCAGCGGGGGGGGGCGGGGGATGGCGCGGCGCGATGGGCGCCCGGGCGCTCGGGGAACGCCGCCCAAAGGCCCCTGAGTGCGCGCAGGAGGGGAGTCGGCGCGGCGCGGCGCCGGGAACGGGGCGGGGAACGCGGGCCCCGGGGGCGTCCCCCCACCGTGTTTTCCCCATCACCTTTCTTTGCCAGCTCGGCGGGCCCATGCAGCTCCAGCAGCCAGCAGTCGAGTTTGTTAAACCGTGGCTGGCCTCCAGGAGGCATGCCGTGTCGATTTACGCCCCCCTGAAGGGCGAGATCCGGGCATCGGCAGTGCCTCCCTCGCTCCTTGCCGGCCTGTTGGCCGTTTGCGGCTCGCAGCACCCTCGAATCACCAACGTGCAGTGTGGAGATCGATCCGTGCCGCAAAACGACCGATAAACGCATGTGGGCAGCGCAAGTGGCCTGGCATAGGCGGCCGGTTTGGCGGCGTTCAGCGAGCATGCACAGGCTTTGATGTTGCCTCGCCCAGCACGCAGGAAGGCATGAAGAGCAATTGGACGATACGTATCTGGGGTTTTGTGCCGTATGTGGACATTCTGCTGGGCCTGGGGGCGAGGGGCGGAGAGCATGAAGGAGTTTTTGGCAGCGCCACCGCGGCGAGCGCCGAGGAGGTAACGACATAATGGAACAACAGCGGCCAACCATTAACCCGGCTTACCAGCCTCCTCATAGCACTTGAAATGTAATTGTGGATGTACGACGAGTCCGAATTGGACAGAACATGGAACTGTGATGGGAACTTTCTTCCCAAGCCCACTGATCACTCCAAGGCAGCCTGCCACCCTCAGGGCACTCCCACCAACTCACAGCTCGTTTCTGTGCTCAACCCGAAGTCAACCAGGCCGGCTGCAGGCAGGTGACGACTCTCTCAGCCCACACACGGATCCCCGCAGGTGAGGCTCTGCTGGCCCGCCCACTGAACCTTGCTGGTGCAGCAAGCGGCGGCAGCGCCGCGGGTGAGCCCCCCGAGGCAGCGCTGGGGGAGAGAGCTGCCTTGGCTGCTCGTGGGAGGGGCTGTGAACCGTCTGCGCACCACCTGCTTCACCTATGGCACTCGATGACCAGCCCAAGCCGCTGCTGCTCACGCTGAGGCTGCCCCTGCGCTTGCTCACGGCCGCCGCCGCGCCGCTCCGCTCGCCACAACCTGACCGCCCGCGGCAGCGCTGCCCAGCCTTGGACGCTGCCAGCCTCAAGCTTCAGCTTGAACCTCAATCTTACCCCTGCCCATACGCCTATAGAGGCGTGTGGGGGGGTAGACTGGCTATGCTGCCCAGCGCTCACGCCCAAACCTATGCCGCTGCCTGCAGCACGCCACCACTCCCGCCCACCACCTGCCGCCGCCCCACCACCACCCACCCCAGCCCCAGCCCAGCCCCAGCCCCGCCGCTGCAGGTCGAGGGCAGGCGCCCCAGGCGGCGGACACCCTCACGCTTCACACCATGGCCTCCACAGGCGACAGCAAGGGCGTCGAGAAGCAGGACATCCCCGCCTCCTGGCCGGGCCGGGCGCCCTACGTCTCGCCAGCCATGGCGCCCGCGGACGACGTTGGCGACGCCGGCAACGGGCATGCCGCAGCCCATGCCCCCCCCCCCTCCCCTGGCCCGCCCACTGGTGTACCACAGCCAGCCCAAGCTGCGCCTGGTGCTGCCCACCGCGGAGAAGCGCGGGCACGAGGCGGTGGCGGCAGGCGGGCAGCTGCAGGGCACGCCACCACGCCTGCCTGTGCCTGCCGACGACCCGCAGCAGCCGCCACTCCCGGCGGGCGATGCTGCCAGCCCGCCAGGGGACGGCAGCAGCAAGCGCCGGCGCGTGCAGATCAGGTTGGCGGCGTGCACCTGCTGTGCCCCGGCCCCGGTCGGCCACGGCGCTTCCACTGCCTCTTTGTGGCACCCCCCACCCCCCACAACCACCCCCATTCTGCTGCCTGCCCTGCAGTCGGGTTGTCCAGGCCAGCGGCACGGACGACGCCTCCTCGCCCACAAGCGCCAGGTCGCGGGATGGCACGCCTCGCCACGGCGCCTCGCCGCACTCTGGTGCGAGGCGAGCGGGCTTGCCTGGAGCCGAGCTCAGCTGGAGTGCTCAGCGGCAATGCCCCCGGGCAACCTGGCCCTCTGCAGCGCTTCTCTCCACAGGCCAACCCCTGTATCACTGCTTGCAGGGCGAGCCGGCCTCAGCTACCCCACCAGCCCCAACGCTGCCGCCACCAGCTACCTTGGCGGCGGTGGCGCGGAGCACGCCGCCTTTCCACAGTCGCCACCTCAAGGTGCGCGCAGGCAGGCCTTGCCTGCGCTCTGCGAATGTGTCAATGCGTGTTTCAATGCAACATTGCACAGCTGCAGTGGATCCTGGGCTGTTGAGCTGCTCACAGCAAAGCTTGCTGCCGGGCGGGGCTGCCTCCCTGCCAGGTGGCAGCCGCTGCAAAGGCAGCATTGCTCAATTTATCCGGCGCCTGGCTTGCAGGCGGTCAGTGGATGTGGCGTGCCGACGTTCCCAACCCCAATGGCTCGTATGGCGCCTGGGCGTGGATGGTGGGAGGAGCCCCGGCAGCGTCGCCTCGCAGCCAACCCGCCTACCCTGGCGGCGGTCCACTGGGTGCCTGGGGCCCGCCCACGCCATCGCTGCCGTCAAGCTACAGCCCGACGCCAGGTATGTGCACACGTGGCAGCAGGAAAGGGTTGGCATCCAGGGCAAAGTGGGTGGGCGTTGCCGCTCGGCACCTCTAGGCACCTCTAGGCGGGGTGAGGGGGGTTGGCTGCAGGCCCCATCCAGAGATCTGCCGTCATTTAACCTCTCTCCCTCGGACCACCATCTCGTTCAAGACCTTGGTCTGGTGCTCCTGGGCAGAGATTGATGCGTGGCGTATGCTGCTGTGGGAGTGCCTTTTTTGCCCCTGCTCCCTGGACTATCGCCTGGTCGCCCACTCACCCTCTCTTCTTCGCCTCGACAGGCCTCTCATATTTCTCAGCATAGTCGGTCAGCCGGGAGAGCTCGGACGTGCAAATTCATTGACACCAAGCCGTCTCTCCCCGCTCCTCTGCTCTCTCTGCTCCCCATCCCAGCTTCAAACTGTCGTTATCATTTGCCCCAGAGGCTGACTGCAAGGCCGCGTGCGACTCTCCCCCCGCTGCATCGCTTGCTGCCCTCTCCCTCAGCCGGGAGGCTGCTCCCGGGCTGGCAGCGGGGCAACGGGGCAGCGATGCTGCCCCGCCAGCCCGCAATAATGCCGTGCCGGCCGCCTGGCTGAACGGAGAGTGGCTGAGCAGGGTGGAGTGGCGGCCGAGACACGGTGGGCGGGACGCGGTGCTGCCCCACAGCTGCCTGCTTGCATTCTGCGCTCTGCAGCCGCTGACTCTGCTGCCCCCCTGCCGCATGGTGCAGGGTACAATGCCGCGCCAGGGACAGGGTACAACGCTGTGCAGGGCCCGCCACTCACCCCGCCGCCGCCGTCTGCAGGCGGCAGCGGCAGCTGGGCGGGTCCTGACGTGCGCTATGACGCCCGCTACGCCGCCCCGCCGCCGCACTACTTCCACCCCGCGCCGCCGCTGGCCTACCCCCTGCACGGCCCGGTGCCAATGCCCTACCAGGGTCCGCTGCTGCTGCCGGGGCCGCAGCGGCCGTTCCACTACGGAGGGCCGCCGCCGCCGCCGCACCACCACCAGCTGCGGCCGCCGCGCGCCGCGCCGGCATACCTGGGCCCCCCCAAGGACCCCGCGGTGGCCGCAGCCATCAGCTGCAACAAGCGCATCACCGCCGCCACCTACGCCCAGGAAATCTTCAACATTGTGGACCAGGCGAGGGCGGGGGGCGGGGCGCGCGCCACGTGCTGCATTGCGGGTGGCCACACCCGGTGGCCGACAAAGGCCACAGCCTGGCATGGGCCGCCGGGCCGCTCGCGCAGCCCAGATGCTCCGCCTCCACACCACCCCTCCCTGCGCTTCCCTGCCTGCCTGCCCCGACCCGCATCCCCGCACCCCTGCAGGAGCACGCCGTGTTTGACACCGTGTGCCTCGCCACCGCCATGCACAAGCTGGCCAACCTGCGGGGGGCGCCCAACCTGCACGCCGAGATTGTGCAGGCGCCCGAGTTCTTCAAGCTCAAGCAGCTCATACGTGAGAGGCGGCTGGGCGGCGCCGCTGGCCCCTGCTCCGGCAGCCGCCCGCAGCCTCGACTTTGATTCTGCCGCCAGTGCTGCCGCTGCCGTGGCAGCCCGCTGCCTGCCTGCCTGCCGCGCGCCGCGCGCCGGCCCCGCGTCGCCTGCAGCAGCCCCTGACACGCCTGCTAACCTCAGGCGCACAACCGGCCACGCCTGCCTGCAGTCATGCGCCGCTCCGAGTTCACCGCTCGCAACCTGGCCAACACCCTGTGGAGCCTGGCCAAGCTCAACCACCACCCAGGCGCGTGCTGAGCGCTGGCGTGCGGGGGCGCCGGAGCGCCACTCCGCGGCTAAACCCCACCATCACACACCCGCACAAGCCACCACCGCCGCCACCGCGCCGCTGCCACACCCGCACGCTCACCCTCCCACCTACCTACCCCTACACCTGCCCCCTCCCCCACCCCTCCTGCCCGCAGGCGACGAGTTTTTGGCGGAGGTGGCGGAGGAGGTGAAGGGCAAGGCGCGGGAGGGCAACGCCCAGAACGTGGCCAACATGCTGTGGAGCTTCGCCACGCTGGGTGCCCACACGCCTGCTGCCGCCCGCCGCCGCCGCCTGCTTGCCTGCCAGCGCCGCGCAGCCCCGGCCCGGCGTTGCTAGCGCCGCTGTGGCCCGGCCGCCCTCTGGGCATGCGCGCATCTAATGCTATCAATGCTGGGGGGAGGTAGCGCCTGGCTGCGGAGCGTGAGCAGCGCGTGCCGCGCCCGCAGGCTACCACCCGGGCGACGAGGTGATGCACGCGCTGGCGGTGGCGGTGCAGCAGAAGCTTGCGGACTTCACCTCGCAGGTGCGGCGGGCGGTACGGTTACGGCCAGGCGGTACCGCCTGTGCCTTCAAGCCCCCTTCTCCCCCGAACCCCCGGAATCGCAGCCAGGCCAAGCCGTGCGCCTGCTCACGCCCTGCTGCCCCTGGTTGCCCCGCCCCACCCACCGGGTGCCACCTCCCCCTTGCTCCCCCGCAGAACATGAGCAACGCGGTGCTGTCGTTTGCCAAGCTGGAGTTTGACCCGGGCGACGAGCTGCTGGAGGGGCTGGCCGCCGAGGCGCTGCGCAAGATCGCCACCTTCTCGCCGCAGGTGCGCATGCGGGGTGCTGCAGGGGTGGAGAGGCGGCGGGCTGGGGGAGAGCTGGGGGAGAGCTGGGGAAGATTGGGGTCGAGCTGGGGACGCGCATGGGCGGGCTGGCAGGGCCAGGCAGGGCCAGGCGGGGCCAGGCAGGCGGCATTGCGGCTTGCGGCCGAGCGCCTGGCGCCGGTGGATCGATCTACCCGCTTCCCAACCCCTGCCCCTGCCCCATGCCCCTTGCCCCTGCCCCTGTCCCTGCCCCTGCCCCTGCCTGCCTGCCCCCAGGCCCTGTCCAACACGCTGTGGGGCCTCAGCAAGCTGGGCATCAACGCCCCAGAGCTCATGGAGGGCATCGGCCAGGCGGCGCGCTTCCAGCTGTACGAGTACAACTCGCAGAACCTGGCCAACTCGGTGGGGCGGCAGTACTGCACGCGGCGGCGCTGCCCGCAGCAGTGCGCCCACGGCGGCGCGTGGCGGCGCATGGCGGGGCGGGCACAAGGGCTGGGCTGGCCCTTGAGCAAGCCGCCTGCGGCCGCCTGCACGCTGGCTGCTCGGGCGCGGCGGCGCGCCCGTTGCCAGCCGCCGGAGCCGGGAGCCCCCTCTGCGCTGCCGCCGACCGCCGCCGACCGCCGCTTGCCTGCCTGCCTGCAGGTGTGGGCGTACGCCAACATCGGCGTCAACCCCGGGGACAGCCTGCTGCAGGTGGGGCCCGCAGCACCGCCCGCGTGTGCCTCCCGCCCCCGCGCCTGGCCGGCCTGCCCCACCCTGCTGCCGCTCCCAATCGGGTCGGCCGGCGGCCAGGCTGGCGCCGCCTCCGCTTGCATGCCCGCGCGCTCACTGCTGCGTCCCGCCCCCCATGCCACCTGGCGCCTGCGCCCGCAGGACTTTGCGCGCGTGGCGATCGCCAAGATGCCCGAGTTCTCCCCCCAGAACATCTCCAACCTGCTCTGGGCCTACGCCAAGCTCGGCGTGCAGCACGCGGAGCTGTTTGCAGAGGGTGAGCGGGCTAGGCTACAACACCTGCCACTGGGGAGCCGCCGGTGTTGGGACGGCCCGCCCTCGCCCCGGCCGCGGCCTCTGCTGCCCGAGCGCGCGTGCGCCCCGCTCCCGCTCCCGCGGCGCACGCCGCGCCGTTGAATGCCGCCGCTCCCTCATCCCCCGCTCCCTCCCCCTGGCTGCTGCCCTGCCCTGCACTGCCCGCCCGCCTGCAGCCGGCAGGCACGCCGCGCGCATCATGCACACCTTCACCCCCCAGTCTGTGGCCAACATGGCCTGGGCCTACGCCACCCTGGACCAGTGCCCAGACGCCACGCTGCTGCACGTGAGCGCTGCGCTGCGCTGGGCTGGGGGCGACAGCACGGCAGCACGGCGGGGGGCGGCAGCGCGGCAGCACGCGCGGCCGGGCTGCGCTGGGCGGCTGGCCTGGGTTGGGGGGGCGGCGGGCCCGCTCTGCCGGGCCGCATCGCCGCCGCTTCACTACATACACTGTACTTGCTTACATACCTGGCATCGTCTGCTATCTGTGCGCGTGTGGATGGGTGTCTGTCCTGCAGGCGCTGGTGGGCCACGCGGCGCGTATGCTCCCCGAGTTCTCCCCCCAGAACCTGTCCAACACCGCCTGGGCGCTGGCCACCCTCAAGGAGTGCGAGCCCGTGAGGCAATTGCACAGGGTGCGCCGCGCGGCACGCCGGATGCGCCGCATGCGCCGGATGCGCTGTTGCGCTGCTCCGCGCCGCGCTGGTGGGGCGCCGGCAGGCAGGCCAGCGGCAGGCAGGTCGAAGGCAGCGACGCGCGGCAAAGCCTGGCACGGGAAGCGGCCCAGCCCTCCCTCCCCTCCCCTCCCCCCTGCCCCTCCCGCCCCTGCAGGGCCTGCTGAGCGGCATTTCTATGGAGGTGACGCGGCGCCTGCTGGACCGGTCAGGCGCCGCCGACGACTTCTCCCGCCAGCACCTGGCCAACCTGGTGTGGGCGCTGGCCACGCTGGAGTTCGACCCGGGTGGGCGGTGTGGGTGTGGGTGTGGGTGGCGGGTGTGTGGTGGAAACGCTGGAGGCACGGGGCTGGCGGGGCCGCGCTGCGCGGCGGCGTTTGTGCATGCCGCATGCCGCCGCGCCGCCGCATGCCTGTCATCGCCCCTGGCCTGGAGCCTCCCCCGCCGCCGCCTGTGCCCACGCCCGCCCGTCTCTACGTGCACACCCCTGCACACGCGCAGGCAAGCGCTCGCTGATGTGTATGGCCGAGGCGCTGGTCACGCGGGCCGACCTGTGCAACCCCCAGGAGGTGTCCAACAGCGGTGAGGGGGGCGCCGCGAATCAGCAGGGCAGAAAAACAATGATGCGGCTGGTGGAGGCCGCTGCTTCGAGCGGTGTGTG